TCGAGACCAGCCTGGCCAACATGGTGAAACTCCATCACTATTAAAAATACAAAAACTAGCCGGGTGTGGTGGCGGGCACTTGTAATCTGGCTGGCTTTGCAGTTATCCCTGCAGCTGCCCTGTGGGGAGTGGATTCGGGGTAGGGATGGGAATCGACAGGAGAGGGATGGGAATCGACAGGAGGATGCCATCAAGCCTGTCTAGTTAAGCTGGGACCAGCGCACTCCATACCCAGGTAGGTCCCTGTCTCGGCAGAGCCCCCGAGGGCGGACATCGTTACCTTCTCCGTGGGCTGCTGCAGGATGGGGAGGTTCTCCTCCAACTTGTCCAGCCCCCTGTGGGCGTACTCGCTGGCTGATGCAACTGCCAAAAGAAATTAAGTAAGACGCAAATGTGACTGGCGGAAGGTCACCTCGTAACTGTTCGGGGGACAGCACCAAGAGCTGGGTAGACCCCCCTACTCCCCACCCAGGGAAAGCGCCAGGAGGGGGATTCAGTGCCCTCTGGGACTTCACCCACTCTGGGGCTCCAGCTTGGAGAGGATTGGCTGAGCCCCGCTGACAGCGGCCGCCGTGAGGGTCCTCACTCCCTTCTCTGCCGCGTCGCAGACGGTCTTGACGTGCGGGTAGCTCTCCTTGGTGGAGGCATAGGCTGCGGACACCATGTCGCAGGTGGAGCTGATGAGAGGCATGCTGGCCACGCGGTCCACCACACTGGGCTATGAGAGAGAAGTGGCTCAGGCAAACTGGGCGGGGGAGGATGGGGGGCTCAGCCGGAAACTCAGGGTGCCCTGCAGTTTCACTCTCACTCCTGGCCAGTGAAACGGCTCAGTTTACCCACACTTTGCATCCAGGTGGTTGCACAAGTCAGGAACCTTGGGGTTTCGCCACATGCTTCCTTTTATTTTTTTTTTTCAAACGGAGTCTTGCACTGTCACCAGGGCTGGAGTGCACTGGCGTGACCTCAGCTCGCTGCAACCTCCACCTCCTGGGTTCAAGCGATTCTCCCGCCTCGTCCTCCTGAGTAGCTGGGATGACAGGCGCCACCATGCCCAGCTAATTGTTTTTGTATTTTTAGTAGAGACGGGGTTTCACCATCTTGGCCAGGCTGGTCTTGAACTCCTGACCTCATGATTCGCCCACCTCAGCCTCCAAAAGTGCTGGGATGACAGGCGTGAGCCACTGCGCCCGGCCCGCGTGCTTCCTTTAACATAGCCTAGTTACATGAGCCTGCACTTTATTCCAGCGATGTGCCAGGTGGTGATAAGGGACAAGAGTCCCATTCTCATGGCAGTTAGGGTCTAAACTGGGGGCTGCAGACTATAGACCATGGGTCACATCCAGCGTACCA